ACAATTTTTCTGCTTTTTTCTTTCACTATCGAGACACTCAAAAGTTAACATCTATATGCGAACCCCTAGGCCACTAATTGCGGTGGCGAATGATCGCGGGCTTTTCCTCTAACTTACCAATTGCTGTTTGCATACTGAGTACATTTTTCAGGTTGACTGGAGCCCGTCATTGCATCTGTGTGTTCCACCTCGAAAAGACGGCTTATCGTTTGCTGACGAAAGGGTCGCAAAAATCGTCATTGAAGCCACAAAGTAAGTGGTTCGCTCATCCGACCCTGAGTTGTCACATAGCTAAAGTGCGGAATTGGATTACGAGATCGAGGCATGAAGTGCTGTGGCAAGGCTGTTGACATTGCCTTCCGCAGTACATGTTTGGAGCCCATATTTCTAGAGATAGCGCTTTCATCTACTTACTGAACAAATGGGTTGTCATGAGGAGGGTGGGGTTGATATTTTTGGGGACTGTTTCATGCCCCCTTAGAAATTTGTATGATTGAACAAGTGATACATTCAATAAAGAAAAAACGCCCTTATGAGAGGTATACGCTTCTAGGGTTCTGCTTTCAGGGTGCATGACTTGGTGCTGGTCTATCACCCAAACATTCGTGACCAAATAGCTACTATTGGACCACTGAAAGCAAATGCCCGCAGCGCCACTGAAGTCGACCGATTTCAACAGGTTTGGTAACTTTATTTTATTTGAAGAGAACTCTCTACTTGGAAATGTAATACAAGTAGAATCTTGCTAATCATTGAACGCCCATAGCGTTGCACTGCACTCCTCAACGTTCATCCATTTCTTAGTGCAACACAAGGAGCTGCAAAAGCAGAAGTCATCTCAGGTTCCATCTACAACACACCTACACAAAGAAGTAAAGTTGTCATCCGGGCAGTTGATTAGCCGGCAAAAAGTTCCGACGCGCTGGCAGCGATCCGCTGTTCGATTAGCTGTGTTCCACCTAATTTAGTCAATTTTCTCCGCTAGTGTCCAGCACTGTCTACTCTCCTTTTTTTTGTAAAGACAAGCTGCGTTATTGTCTATATGAAGTATATCAAAACGTTAATTCTTTTTTGTTCTCGTAATGGGGTCTTTTTCGCAATTTTTCTGGGTATTTGTTTAATTGTTTGTTTTAATTCGTTGATTGTCGCAATGGTTGAGAAATATATTTCAATCATAATTTACCTTTTGAATACAAGAAACAACTAACCTTGGAAAAAGCAGCCAAAAACAGTGAAAAGTAGGGAAAAAATGACTAAACCAGGCCGGAAACAGCTGATCGCCGCAAACAGTTCCTACGCACGCGGTCGCTGCTGCAGCCGCGTCTGCGGCCCTTTGACGACCGCCCTAATCAACTGCCCGGATGACGAGTGTAATATCTTGCACTCTCGTCTAATACAGTAGGATACTGCAGCACTTGTCCCAAAATCGTAGACTGTACTGCAAGAATGCTGAGTTATGGGCAAAAGTCGTGCCCCAGGCGGGAGTCGAACCCGCACCTCACGCTTTCCGGGCGAGTGCGCTATCCGTTACGCCAGGTCCACTTTTACCCTCTCAGCTCAACGGCTTTTTATGCCGTGAGAGAGTAAATTGTACTGTTCTCAAATGTAATTCAAAGAAGTCTTAGTTGGGAATTTCAGGCGTTGGAACGCGTTACTGCACAGGCTCGGGAGCGAATAGATCTCAATGTCATCGTTGTTTCTCCACATGGACTCGTGGATGTTCCCGAACGAAACGTAAGGTGAGTGAAGGAATACTTTCAGATATGGTCTTTGCATAAAAACTGAAGGTTCAGGAATTCAGAACGACTAGAATAGGACGAAGGTTTTTCCGTCACCTCTATTTGGATTACTGCTCTATGCAAAACTTCTTTTTTTATTCTTTATTCATCGGGTTTATCAGGATTTTTCCTTCTTTCCTTGGAAAAAAAACACAAACATCAAGAATAGATACGCCTGTGTTTAGTGAGACCTTTTCTTCAGAGGCAGTTGGTACTCTATCTGAAATGGTGGCAGGAGTGCTACATAGTGGGATAATGGCGAAAAAGTGATTAAACGGTAAAAACTGCAAAAAAAAGCCAAGAAAGCCTTTATGCGATATGACTTAGGAAACAATTGTGGACGACTTCCCCGCTGGCATCGTGCCAATAGCCGCTACGGTAGATACGGCTGCATATATGTGCTCATATATCCATGCAGCACCGCAGCAGGGTCTTCATGTCACAGTTTGGTAGGGCGCTCGCTGTACGACCCTCCTTGGAAAAGGCGCCCGCAGCGCTTGCTCGGGGGCGCAGAATTCAGTCTTGCTAAGCGTATTCTACTAGGAGTTATAGCGAATTGACGAGAGCCAGGACTACAGATTCCAGGCAGGTTAGGCAACGATTTCTTATGTATTTAGTGATGCACGTATCTCCTCTCATGTGATTTACTACTATCCCATGTCCTTTCTTGCGTGAACATCTCACACTTCACTCCACTTTATCTCCTATTTTTCGTAGAGAAGTGGTGACAGATTTGCTGTCTGCCACTTGCTTGCTTGTGTATTACTTGAAAAGGACGCGTTGTTATACAAGTAACAAAAAAACTGGCAAAATGAAAATGAAAACATGCAGAAAGATGAGCGTGAATGTTCCAAGCAGCCACTACGAAAGAGTAGCTCACTTAAGGTCAAATACCTTGTCTTAGCCGTATTAGAACTTAACCTTCTTGCTTCTCAAATAAAGTTCATTTCACCAGTGGGGCCTGCCCTCCCCTAGCTTCAACGGTTTATTTACCGCGGTTCATTAGCGCTCATGCAAGGAATTAGAGGCCGCTTAGCTCCTGAATCACGAATTAATAGTGAATCACGGGTATGAAAGATCCGTTGGTATCACAAGTACTCTTACTCGGATTGTCCCCAGAATCAAACGAGAACATTCAACAAATCAGAATAAATCTCATGCGAGCGTAATATACTATTTGTCAAATTCATTGTGTACTTTCCGATGAGTTAGGATGATGTCTTTTCCTCTTTTCTTTTCTTTTCAATCTAGGGTTCTCGACGATTACCTGCCTATGGAGCTCCTCCAGGCGTGCGTCGGAAGTGGAGCTGTCATGCAGCTCATCGCCTTGCCAGGTAAAACGCATCAAGTCTACTCGCAACTCCGAAATCATACGCCCATACCAAACGTCAAAATCTACTACACCACTCCTAAGGTTTGTTTGTAAGTTTTTCACTCACTTCACCTTACACCGAACACTTCTGAACCATTTTGCCAAGTGATCGTAGCCATTTAGTGTAGCGTTTCAAACCAGGGCACATCGTTGGTTGGGGAATCCCCAACAGGGGGGTCGTATTTGGCCGCCAGGAGAGGGGGGGGGTCGTAGTGAGTGCGGCAGCCAGTAACGAGCAGCGCAAATTGTCAATGTGCTGAGTCCTGTACAACGAAACTTGCTTTGTAGAGAACTCGGATATGCAAAAAATAGTACAAAACTTTCATTCATCAAACTAATCCGAAATAACTGCAAATATTAATAAGTCGACATTATCTCGTAAGTCCGTTGGTGACTAAACAGTACAACTCAAACTCTGGTTCGCTGCCAATGATATGGCGTGTCCGCGGTCGCGCTTGGCGCTGAGCCAACCTGTTTTTTTCTCGACAAGCGACAGGACTACCATATCGTTCGTATCAGACGTTTTCCAGCAGTTGGTCTCCTTTATCGGAGTCAGCGATTGGCGGAGCACGAATCTGGCAGCGTTGACAGGGACATGTTCCATCATACGCAACGGAAAACACTGTAAACAAGTGCACAGGCTCGCCATGGACCTCCCTGAACCCTATAGACACATTTGCTCGCGTGAACAGACATTACGCACAAGTTGCACCATCCCATCACCTCTGCGCGGCCTCAGTGCGCGGCGCATCCAAAGTTGGCGTGATCGGCGCTAAACGAACCATATCCTGCTCCTGCTCCACCACAGGATACGTTCTACATGCGTTCCTGGCTTATTCGAACACGCTCACTTGAAACGGTACACAGGAAACGCAGCTGGGAGTGTTCCTCAAGAAATCCCCATAGCGAGATCTCATGAATCCCGAGAGCTTCAGAAACAGTTCAAGAGGTTTTTAGAAAGAGAAAATCTTCAAACACTCGAAACCGTTCTCAGATTTGTGAAATGTTGAGTTACAAAAAAAATATATTGATTCAAACCTGTTCAGTTGAAATCACTCCCCAACGAATCCCTATGGCAGATTTCTCTGTGATTTTTGCGACCTTCATAAACGTTTCAGTACTTTTAGGAAGTGCAAACCTTCCTCTACACGAATACGGTCTCCTCTTCCCCACAGGTCCGCTTTTGAGGAAGTTATGGTCCTTCAAAGACACCTAACTCAGCTGGAAATTCTCGCTCCATGGCTAAAATTGCCGACAGCCGCAATTACATGCGCTTCTGCTACCGTACTCCAATAATCGGGGTAATGCATTTTTACGGCGGTTTGTATAACTGTTACGTAGTGAGACAAGCCTAACTTTCTCTTTTCCTCGTCCTCAATCTTGGGAATAGACGTTGTTAACACTGTGGTCGCTGATGGCCGCTCCCAGAGAGGGAGTCCACCTCAGGTTAACGAATGCTCATTGAATTTAATCGCGATACATCGTTATTATTACCATGTGTGTTTCAAAACGGCCATCGAAGAAGTTCATCATACGAGTTTCTCATAATACGATTGTACCGTTTTTTGTTTGCAATCATCTCTGTATTGTTCTATTATGTCATGACTTCAAGTCGTCCATTTAGTATGGGCACCTTCATACAAGTAGAATTTCATAGTGGGCGTTTCATAGTTTCATTTAAGGCGAAAAAAACCGAACGGCAAAAAAGGGGGGGTCGTACCGAACCCCCAAAAAAGGGGGGTCGTACAGGCTCGACCAAAATCCCCATCGAATGCTGTGCCCTGTTCAAACTGACAACCGATTCCCTGGGCATCGAGTCGATACTTGAAGACCAGGTCACAGCATCACTGGGGAGCACCTTCAGTGGGGTTGTACTTGGTCACCGGAGAGAGGGGTATTCGACCCTCTGACAAAATCTCTCCCGAGCAGGAAGAAACCTTTTTCTCTTCGTGACCCTCCTTACTTTTTCCCCTTTCATTGCTATATGAGACGTGAAATGAACCAGAAGAGGAGTTTTTCGAGGGAGGTCTTACTGCCACTGCCATTCCGCATAACGAAGATGTATCCTGTACAAGACATTCTTCCTGCAATCGGGAAGGCGGGGAAGGGACTTGGGTCAGAATGCAGCCAGCAGGCACCTTCTATCAACTGTTGCTTAGGATGGCACTGACGGAAAAGGTTGCACGGGCCGTGCTACGGCCCTTACTCCCTCGCACGCCATCTCGTTTGCAGGGGTGAAGACTGTACCTTCGGTTTCAGATCGGAGATCTTCCCGAATGGTACCACTACAAGAAATCGTCCACAGTACCTGATTTGGTGCTTGTCGCACAGCCGGGATACGCTATCATTACGGTGCGCTAACATTTAGACTCGTTCCATTTTCGACGGATTAGAATTAAATTTTGTTCTCAGCCAATCTCTATGAACCTACGACCAGATACTTTCAGCGAGAATCTTCCAAGCAACTCCCGGAGCGAGACGAAGTGAAGGCAGGAATGAGTGGTTACAACAACCACTATCCGGACATGCAAGGAGTTTTTCTCGCCTATGGTCCGGGTTCGTTTTCCTATTTGATCATCGACTTTCACAAAATAGACGACCGTGGGTCAACGCATTGGCAAACGTAATTACTTCGCTGTAGAAGAGCAATATATAGACGTCCATCGTTAAAAAAGTCCAACACGTATTGAAAGAATCTCATTTGAAGACGTAAATGGCGACTATCAGGTGAGGGCAACCCCTTCCCCATAGAAGATGGACAGGTTTATAGCCTGCTTGAAGTGAGTTGGTGGTAAGAACGCCAGCGGTTTGTGACTGAGCAGTGACTCCGCTTTCTTCAATTCGGCTCCACCCACTATATATAGACTTCAACTTTCATCACTTGCGCGGTTCTGTGCTCTAAAGCTTATTGTCTGACCTCTCACCCGGTCGTCCAGCGCTTCTGCGCCTGCATTTACCCCTCGTTCGTCCAATACTTTAAATCAACGAATCAGTGAAAACCACCCTCATCGACCCGTCGGCTCACTTCTGTGAGGGCTTCTGTTTTCTTTTTTATAAACCCTACAAATCTCAGGCTCTACAAGTTCGTAATCAAACCCCACCAACAGCGAGTTCCAGTCGGGGAAAATGTTTTCAGGCTGTTTTCGTGAAAGTTCCTTAAGTCGAAATTTTTGCCAATGTGCGACTTTCTATGGACTCAACACCTTCGACTCTCCATGTCATGTTTTTCAGTATTCCGAAAAGGATTCCATAAAGGCCCACTGGAGTTGTGCGACATCTACACGCTCATCTGTACTATACTTCGCTTAGAAGAATGTAACACATCGTGTGGAAGGTATGCTCCATCAGATGCACTGGCTCCATATACATTGCGGTACTGTGGAAGTAACATAATTCCAGAATTCTACGAGTGGACGACGTTCTCACAAGTGACGCTCGAGTAGCGGCACGATCTCAGTTACACAGGTCTAACCAGCAAGAAGCATCATTTGGCAAAGCCTCACTAGCAATTGTTGTTGCTATCTTTGTTGTGTTTTTCTCAATGAATAGCCTTTGAGTAATCATAAAAATCGTCCAAGGAAGATTTGACACCCCATTACCTTTGTACTACTTGTGTCGGGTTTTCCTCGTCATCTCTTGTCTTCTGCTGACAGATGCCCCTAAAAGTTGCAGTTTTAAGGGTTCGTTTGTTCTGCGAGTTTAATGTTTAGCCTGTGTGGGCAAGAAAGACGCTAATTTCTTTTTTTGGACGATATCCTTCAAAATGAATAATATGTAGATATGATTTGATGTTAATATATAACCATGTTGCCTACACTTCATGCAGATTCTCAGTCATAGTAGAATAAAAAGTTTTAGTCAAGTAGCATAACATCGAGCTTAAGCGGGAGCGGAATGCTAAAACATAGCTAGGGTTCATGTGAAGTGCTTCATCACCATCAGCCTGTTAAGTTGTCGTCAAGACAGCCGCTTTCTGGTCATGCAGCGCCTTTTCGAAACTGATTCTTGCATGTGTTAGTGGTAAAGATATGGACCGCAAAAGGTGTAGCCATCTTTCCCTTAGTGCTTCTAAGAATGCGGAGAAGGGGTGAAAGACCTTCAGCTAGACCAAGAACATGAAAATGACAGGGCTGCAAAATTCCGTCACGTAGGGAGCTCGAACCATAGGCCTGTTGTTCAAACTTTTTTGGCCTCAAAGTACAGCACAGAGAAAATAAACATTCTATTCGCTACAAGACCCCACTTATTGGGTCTATGGGTAGGTGACCACACTCCATAGAAAACATGCAATTCAAATTGTCAGCAAACCACTTTGAAAGCACGGTCCGCCATCAGGTATAGAAGTTGAGAATATGGTGACTCCCCCACCAGACGTCGCCTCCAAGGCCCACCTTTCACTGAAAACGAAGCTTCAGACGAAAAACGAGGTTGAAAAAGCATGAAATTCGTCACTTGTACGGTCGTAGAGTTCTTATCGGGGAATCAGCTGTGCGGATGAGGGCGTAGTGTTGGAGATGGAATTACTTGGGCACGTGCAAACTGGGATCGATTGGTTGTTTGAAGGGCAGTTGGCAAGTTTTTTTTTGCTTTTTTTCACTCGACTTACTCAGGACCTTGTCGTCTATACGCAGACCACTAGTCCTCTATCCAACGGCGAATGGTCCCGGGTTCGCCTTAAGCAACGACATAACCTAGTTGTCGAATGCATTTACTGTTTAGTATCTCTTCACTTTATGTGCGCTTCACAGTAAAAAAAACGCCTACCGCGGTCGGAAGACAGCGCTGAATTTGAGGCACCTCAAAAAAGTATTTGATAATGACACCTGGCATTAGGTTTTCTTACCAACGTATAGGAGCGTGGTGTGGTGTAGCAGCAAGTGAAAACACGAGCATAGTTCGGGAGCCAAATCCTGGTGCAGTTCGAGAAGCCTTCCACTCTGCGAGGACTGTGAATCCACGCCAGGTTGGCCTGAGAGGCCAAACATTAACATAAAGATTTGCTGGCTTCCACGATCCATCGTAGGTTATATTACGTTCAATGGATCACAACTATTCAAAAAGAAAAAAAGAGTGCTGCGACCCAAAGATTGATCAATGGCAAGAGCTCCACTCTTTATTAATATTCGTGCATCAGCTTAGCTGGGCACAGATTGTACATTGGCAAGTGGAACCGCTTACCGTGCATGTGATCAGTGATTAGACATCATTTCGGCTCCCATATGAAACAATCAAGCCTTTTCTTTTTCAGGGGTTGCCACATTAATTTAGCTTATAGAACGGATTTCGCAGGTCGTTCTGGAGCCAAACGCTTTCAGATCCACTAGGGTTTTGAATGGAAGTGTAATACTCCAACCCAAAAAGTAGCTGACTACCACCAAAAGCATTTCACGCTCACAGGATGGTTGAAAGATTGTGCCAGCAGCGACTGTCTTGACGACAACTTGACAGGCTAATGGTAATGAAGCACTTCACATGAATCCTACCTATATTTTAGCATTCCGCTCCCGCTTAAGCTCGATTTTATGCTATTTGACTAGAACTTTTTATTCTACTATGACAATCTGCATGGGTGTAGGCAACATGGTTATATGAGGTTGGCGGGAAAGTTCTGTCACATTTTTTCAAACTAGGCTTTCTTTTTATAGAGAGGAGTGTAAGATCAAAATTGTACAGCAATGTTACTGCGGGGTCCTTGCCAGTGTTTGAGCACCTCATGGATGCCATTGCTTCACTATGCAGGGAGACACGACGCAAAGTTGGACACCATCTCAACCTCGACTTGAACTTGGGTTATGGAGGTTTTCTCGTCCGCATAACGATCGATTACGGAAGGCAACTTGCTATTAGAAGGGGCGATGTCTGTGCTACACAAGTGCAAGGGGAGAGAGATCAAGCTCCATTGCATGAGGTACGGCTCGAACTTTTTTGGACCAAGTGCGTTGCACTATCTTGGTGAGGGCCGGCTGTGCGGACAAATTTTTCCCTCTGATCCACGATA